TGTGTGTGTGTGTGTGTGTGTGTGTGTGTGTGTGTGTGTGTGTGTGTCTGTGTGTGTCTGTGTGTGTGTCTGTGTGTGTGTCTGTGTGTATGGCAGGGTGGAGGTGGGGTTGTTCGTGTGCATTGACTTTCCTGATGTTTAGATGGGGTGGCACAGGTACTGGCTCTCTTCCAGCTTGGAGTTTTGTTGGGCCTATTTCCAAAGTTGTTGGCAGCTCTTAAAAATGATGGAGAAAGGAAGCCTTAGTGACGGCTGCTGACCTTGCCCCGGAAATTGGCCTATGAACGATAGAGTCATCGGCGGTTCCATTTTGTTCATAATGGTACATCTGGTTTACCCCATTGTCCCAGTGGAATTATTAATCATTCCTTTTCTCCCCACTCTCAGAAGTGTCCTGGTTTGGGCAATAACTTACATGGTCACCTTAGTGATCCTCCAGGAAAGACTCAAAGTACAGATTTGGAAGAGTTGAGTGTCTTAAAAATGTATGCGTGTGAGAAGAAGTTAGAAATACATTAAGATGTCATATTTTAAATCTGTGCATAAAATCAATTATTTTGTGGTTAACTAAAAGAGTGATCATCATTATTTATTTTATTTTGTTTTTATTTACCCCGAGGTAAGCACTTTGTATAGATTGTCTTCACAGAACTCTTTGGTGTGGGTACTATTAATCCCTATATTACAGATGAAGAGATGGGGGTTTAGGGAATTTAAGTCATTTATACAAAAGAACATGACTAGCTTTGTTCAGGATCCACTAGATGCCATGAAGCCAGACCTAAGTTAATGCCCCCACTATGGCATCTCTCATTTGGTGTCATTGGCCTATTTTTCTGTGTTTTCTTCCACAAACTGTGGGCTCCCTGAGGACAGGTGCTGTGTCTTACTCTTCTTTGCATCTTCAGTGCCTGGCCTAGAGCATAGCACATGGTTGGCACTCAGATGGTTACCGGATGAGAGAATGACCTGGGATGTGTGACATTGTCCTCTCCTAGGGCCCTCCTCCCTCCTCTGCATCAACATGTCTGTCGACGTGTGTAACCTGCTTGGCGTATGGTAAGCACTTTGTTGGTTGTAGCTATTACTGCTGTGATACTGCAAAGCAGCCAGGATGGCAAGGGCACCTTAGTGGGCTTTGTCATATTTTTGGCTGGGGCCCGGGGAGGTGGCCCAACCCCGGTTTGGAGTCAGTGATACTGCCAAACCATCTCGGTGTTGGCACGAATCTTCTTTCGTTCCTCTGGCTCAGATGTACCGCCTGAGGACTGGGTGGCTTAGCATTCAAGGCCTGTGCCGCTTTGACCGATCCTTGGAAGGAATCGGCATCTGATTCACAGGCTCTACGCAGTGAAATCAGATGTATTGAGTCCTTCGCAGAGATGCCAGAGGGGCTGTGAAGGCAGGTAGGTCTCTGCTGCTTATTCATCTCAGGCAGCTTTCTTTCCCCATATTTTACATTGGAGAATGACCAGCAGACTTGTATTAAACGTCTGCTGCGTACAGAGCCCGGACCTGGGGGCTCCAGAGACACAGGGTGGCTGCCTCCAAAGCTGTATCCCGGAACTCCTTGGAGGGGGACCATTGCCACACTGTGCAGTGCACAGTGGCAGACACAGGCCTTGGAATGGGCAACGGGAACACAGGAGGACGGGGTGGACTTCAGGCAGTGACAGAGATAAAGCCCGGCCACATATCTATCTCAGGACTGGACAGGTTTTGCTAAAGGTCAGGAGGGTGGAGAGAAATCCAGCTCTGGTCACAGAGAGATGAGTGACATTTGGGACTCTGTAAATGTAAGTAGTTAATACGCTGGCCCGTAGCGAGGCCTGCCGTGGTTTTGTGTTTTGGCTCAGCTCGAGTTGTGTGAATCCCACCTGCAGAGGTGGAAAAGGGAAGGGAGTCTTCCCACTTTAGGTAGTCCAGGCAGTGGGGCTGACTCCCTCCGTGGGCCCCCGTGTCCCTCCTCCCTCTAGGACTGCTTGCTCCGCGTGCTGGATCAGGGTGGAGGTGGGGAGGGGACACACAAAACAGCCCCAGGGCAGTGTGCCACGGTATGTTCAGAAAACCGTGGGTCGTCCCGGTTCCTCACCACATGGCTGCGCCAGCCAGGGGTAGACCTGGGCAGGAGACGCAGGGCCCACAGTGCCGTGTGGCCCAGGGCTTGCCGCGGACCCCTCGGGGTTGTCCTCACCGTGACCAAACAGCTGCGTAGTCCTTAACTTGCTGTCCCTGAAGCCACTCACCCTAGCTCCCCAGGGAGACGGAAGGCGGCCCGGGGGTGGCCCCATCTCTTCCTTCCAGCCCCTCTGCAGGACCATTTGTTTTCCTCCCCTCCTGCCTTCATAAGGCCCCTCTTGCCCCTCACATGGAGACCCTGGTTGTGGGGTGGAAAGATGGCCAGGGAAGGAGAGGTGTCTTTACTCCCAGAGCCCTCGGGCAGGGCCAGCCACCCATGCGACAGCCAGGCTGCGAGATCTGGGACGGGCTCGGGATCCATCTCTCCCTGCTGGCCCCCGTGGGCCTGTCGCCCGCCGAGCCTTGGGCTAATTCTGGTCTAAATCCATCGGTGGCTGGAAGAGTCACTGGATCAGAAATAGAACTTCTAAGCCCTTTTGTAAAATTGGAATAGACACAAAGCAGGTCCCGGGGATCAGAATAGCAGGTCATCCCCAGACCCTCCCAGAATCAGGCCAGTCTACTCTCCCGTTATGTAAGGCCCTCCCCGGAGCAGCGGCCTACTGGGCTGAGATGCAGAGCGATGGTGAGTTCTTTTGTTGTTTTGTTTTCAAAGGTGATTTTATAAAGTCAACGGAGCTATTTTTGAGAATAGTCAGAAAAATATCTATTCTTTAGTGTCTTAAAATATGTTTCTCCTTAGCTCTCATAAAAGGTACTTGCAGGGACCTTGCTTGTTGGCAGGAATGGGAGTTTGGGCTTATTTGAAAACTTTCAGAAATGTAAAAGGTTCCAGTTGTACAAAGTGAGACCCCAAAGTAGATTAAGATACATCCTAACCTTTGCCCAGTGCCGTAGGGATTACCAGGGCTCTTAGGGATGTCTCCCTTTCCCCTCCTCGCTGCTGTCAGGGGTGGGGGCAGGTGCTGTAGTGGTGTCGCCCCTTTACCATTGAGGGCCCCGAGCCATAGGTTCAGGGACCTGCTTGAGACCGCAAGGAACCAGCGCCTTCCTGTGCATCACACTCCGTCCCTGCGTTCTCCGCAGCATCCTGGGGTCTCGGCACATTGGGTTCGTAATTCTCCACACATACCTCACGTGTCACTTTTCTTGGCCAAGTTCTCGCAATGAGTTGCTAACTTTTCCAGGACTTCACCAAGCACTAGGTTTTGATCTGACTGTATCTGGGGAGAACCCCAGAAGAAAAAAGAGACTTAAAATGACATTTAATGATCCTCATTAATAATTTCTCAGTTTTGAAATCTTTAAAGGTATATCCTGTAAATATTGGAGCATAGCAGCCAGTGTAATTGACTGACTGAATCCAAGATGCAGAACAAAGCAACAACAATGGAAACCTTACCAGTTAACACTGACATAGACCTTAACACGTGCCAGGCACCTTCTAAGCTCTTAGTATGTAGCTCATTGAATCATCACAGCAATCCTGTGAGGTAGGCACTGTTACCTTCATTTTCAGGTGAGGAAACTGAGGCTTGGAGGAGTTATGTAGGTTGTCTATGGCCACACAGTTTGTAATTGTGGGAGCCAGGATCTGAGCCCAGGCTGATTCCAGAATGATCTTAACCGTTTCACCATGGTGCCCCTGAACAGATGTGTTCATGTTCATGTCACTGCTTTAAGAACGCATGAGTGGACTTGTAAGCAATTTTTGAGCGCTTACCATGAACCAGGCTGGGTGCTAGATATTTTTGTACACTTTATTCTATCTCATTTAAATCATAGCTTCAGGGCTGGAAAGGAGTGTGTGAAGAGGATTTTCAGAGATGGCTGGCTCCCACTCTACGGTCGTTCCTTAGCTCCATTGGCTCTTTTATTCAGTCGCTCAGCAAACAAAGCCTCTGCCTTATAACCACAGTAGTAAGTAGGTTTGAGCCTTTGCCTGGTCAAACTTTTTTTTCTTAATTTATTTTTGGCTGCGTTGGGTCTTCATTGCTGCACGCAGGCTTTCTCTAGTTGCGGCGAGCGGGGGCTAGTCTTTGTTGCGGTGCAGGGGCTTCCTGTTGCGGTGGCTTCTCTTGTGGAGCACGGACTCTAGGCACACAGGCTTCAGTAGTTGTGGCGCGCGGGCTTAGTAGTTGTGGCGCGCAGGCTCTAGAGCACAGGCTCAGTAGTTGTGGCGCATGGGCTGAGTTGCTCTGTGGCATGTGGGATCTTCCCATACCAGGGCTTGAACCTGTGTCCCCTGCATTGGCAGGCGGATTCTTAACCACTGTGCCACCAGGGAAGTCCCCTGGTCAAACATTTTTAACTTTCTGTTTGTCACATGTCCTGAAGAATAGTGGTCCCCAACCTTTTTGGCACCAGGGACCGGTTTCATGGAAGACAATTTTTCCACGGATGTGAGCAGTCGTGGGGGGGGGGGGGGTGGGCAGGAGGTAATGCGAACAATGGGGAGCGATGGGGAGCAGCAGATGGAGCTTTGCTCGTTCGTCCGCTGCTCACCTCCTGCTGTGTGGCCCGGTTCCTAACAGGCCAAGGACCGCTACTGGTCCGTGGCCTGGGGGTTGGGGGCCCCTGCCAAAGAAGACCTCTTTTAACTATGGCTGTTAAAACCACCCCAAAACTTAGTAGTCAGGGCAACATTATTATCATTTCTCATAGTT